GGGGGGGGGGGGGGGGGGGGGGGGGGGGGGGGGGGGGGGGGGGGCAACGAGGAGCGGGTGGAATGCAACACTGTAAGAATATTATACAAATCGTACAGGTGTAGTCTATGCATCTACGTCTGCTTGTACTAGCCCAGGACGAAACCGTATCATGTTCGACGGCAGTTGGTTGCCAGGGGTACAGAAAGAAAAGGCCGCACAAAGGAGAGCCACACCTCGCCACGTACAAAAATATACTACCAATCAATGATGCAGCTCATGCACACAAATGATCACGATTGCCTGCATCGGGACATACATGTGCTCACGTCTAGAAGGGGAGGTTGGGGAGGAAAGCAAAAAGAGAAGCTAGCCAGCCACACAACGTTTCCCACTTTGGCCTGTGGGATACCCCCTCTTGTAACCTACTGCTGTATAGTCTTCAATATGAAGTACTGAGTCGGAAGTACGGAACTACACGGCACAGGAGGAGTGTGCCGAAACGGGTTTTGTTGTACATTTCCCCCCGAGTCCCCTCTCCTATTCATTCATCGAAGACGTGCAACGAAACATCCGTCATGCTTACCACCAGGGACGGCCCGCGGCATCCCGGTACTCGGTCCACTGATTCGCGGTGGCCGGAGGGCTTCCGGCGGGTGTGCCCGGTGCAGCCGCGTCGTTGTCTGTCCGAACGTCAGAACGGAATCATCAGAAAAGGAGGGGCGAGCGAGAAGGAGACAACGAGCAGCGAAGGGAAATTTGTTACGGAAAAATAACACACACGAGTGAATGCTGTTGCAAACAAACGCTAGCCTACAGCAGTAGCAGTATAGTTCCTGGGTGATCGCATCGTCGACGAACAAAACCTTGACAGCAGGTTCGCAGGTTGCAATGCAGGGCATCAGGAGAGTTGCGGCGCAAATCTATCCGTTCTCCTCAACCTCGCGCTCCCCGCTCTCCTTCCACCCTATCTTTGCTCTCTCTCTCCCTCTCTCTCGCTCTCTCTCTCGGATCGTCCCGCCACCACATGCATGCACATGTGCGCACCACAGCAACACCGTCAGACTTACCTCGAGAGACAGGACGACGACGAGGTGCGGCCCGCCTGCCCAACCCAAGGCAGGAGAGGAACCCCATGGAAGTGCTGTGTTGCGAGGTGGTCTTCGCTGACGGACTGTCGTTGTGTGTTTCGCTGTTGTTGCTGCTGGTGTGTGTGCAAGTCTTCCTGCGTTTTTGAAGGGCTGCGATCAGCCTCAAAGGTGCAGTAGCTGGTTGGCAATGGTGGTGTCTTGAAGGTTTTGCTCTTGGTTGAGGGAACGCTGTTGTGGTTGTGAACAGGAGGGGGTTGTGAAAAGAGGCCAGGGTTGGTGCGCGTTATGTGTTTGACAAGTTGCTGCACAGACCGTGTGCGTCGGTCCTCAGAACGATCCCTCCAAGTTCTACGTAGATTATGCCGCAACGACCCGAAACTCTTTGTTCTGCGGGTCTGCAGGATCGGTCTGTGGACAATCCAGAAGCAAAAGGGTCCCGAACTCTTCGGAGCGGTACAGTAGGTAGCCTTAGGCAACTGCTCACGTAGGCGAGACTCCAATCCAGAGACCGCGGAAAACCGTAACAAACGGAATTCAACCGGAACTACACACAGCGTTACCGAGGGCGACTAGAGCAAGGCCATTGCCGCGGGCTGCAACAAGTTAAGATTCGGTGTGAGTCAACGACTTGTGCCCAAAAATGTTGCAGCATATAATTTATTGCTTTGAAGAAATAACATATTCTACCAAGTAGCCTAGAAGCTGGTGATGTTGTCTTCATGTGTTGTCCGTCTTCAACCTAAGCAGGCCACCTACCTGCTTACAACTGGCGAGGAGCGCTCTTGGGAGATGGAGGGTTGGAAGCGGGAGCAGAGGTGGGAGGGGCAACAAGAAGGGCGTTCGTTGGGGCGATGATTTCTGTCCCCCACCTAAAGAAGGTTTAGCGGGAATTTCTCGTGTTCGTGAACGATATGTAGGGGTGTCATTCACCAGACGTACGTGAGCTTGTGCAACATTTCTCCCGGCTTCACAGGGAAACAAGGGAAGCTTGTATGCGCATGACTTGGGATCCGCGCAAAGCTCACGCCAGGTCAGGGCGGAAAAGTGAGAGAGATCGATTCTCGGTCCCCTACCCTCTCCCCGCTCAGTGGCGCGTGCCGGGTGTGGGCAAGTTCCTGGCTATTTTCCTCGCAACAAGACCAAACTACATGTTTCCAAGCCAACCCAACTCAATACTGTTTTCGCGTGGTGAGTGACAACACATCTCGAACATTGGTGGGGACAACGCCTTGCCCGTCTGTCTAACCACCAAACTTGCAATCATCTTTGCAAGGGTTTTTCGGTGGCATTTTACCTCTCTCTTGCGAGTACAGCGTTCGGGTTAAGCAGCCTGATTTCCCTCTTGGTGAAACCGCTGCCGCCCCAAAGACTACCCGTGCCATAGACGGAGAACTCTACACCTCTCTAAACGAGCATAACAATAGCTGCTGCACGAGGGAGGATACCGAAAACGGAGACCCCCATCACGTAACGGCGGGGTTCCCTTCGCAATCGCCACTTGCTTCAACACCTCGCAATTCCTGCGAGAAAACTCGCAGGGCCATGAAGCATCTAGGCCCCAATCTATTATAAGGGTGTGAACCCAGACACAAAAAACACCTGCCAATACCGCCACTACGTAGACCCACGAGAAACAAACAGGCGCGGTCGAAATGTGATTGCTGATACTAAACTAATAGTCTGTAAATCACGCCCTACAACGGTACTGCTGTCGACTGTGTGCGACAACAATAGAGACGCCGGATGGGCTCCCCTGTGCGAGTGTACCACCTCCTAGCCATAATCCGGAAACCCGGGTATGCTCTCCTTTCGCGATTGTTCCGGCTGCGTTCCCCCCCCCCCTCCCTCCGGAGTAAAAATAACGCTTTCAGCACTGAAACCAGCTACTACGTGCAAAGCAGGGGCAGGAGGCCGAACCAAACCCAAAGCTTCACAAACGGGTGAGGGGCGTTGCGATACCGGTTTAGAGGCTATCCTTGGGTAGCTAGCGAGAGCGGCATGGGAGAGGCGGGGACCTTCCAAATCTAACACCGCCGAGGGCGGGCGAAGGGCCGAAGCCAAAGCGTCGGCCAACTCTCACAAAGACAAAACCGGTAAAAACAGACCGCAACAACAGCCAGCCGTCTTAGTCCTTCTTCATGGATTCCGAGTCGACCGCGAGACCCATGGTGTTGAGACCGTTGTCCACATACCTGCGAATTCAATTCAATTCGCCACACAACGGCAGATGGAGAGGACGGGGGACGGCGGCTTGCAAGGTAAAAACGCGTGGATGAGAGCAGGTGCGCCCAGGCGGGAGAGGATCGTCATGCGCGCACACCCACACGGCACCAAGTTCCGATGTAACCACCGGAAGCGATCCAGATATAGATGTAACCACCGGAAGCGATCCAGATATAGATGAGACGCAGTAGAGACGCGATCCTGCGCATTTCACTAGCTGTACGGGGCGACCCACCGCCTCTGAGAAGTAATGTTTTGTGCCCCCAAGCCTAGTTTCATGTTTTCTCCGGGATAAACCAGCATTGACTGCTGTATGGGTTGTTTGTGAAGGATTCTTCACTGAGCACCTGTTCTAATTTCTTCGGTTCCCCTGAGTTTCTTAACCCCCAGGTTCACAAGCGGTGGCGCGTACTGCTATACCCGGCTGTCTTCACAAGAAACCATCTTTGTAAAAGTTGCCATGCTACACACTTGCTTTGTTGTTTCATGAAGCAAGAATAAATAGTTGCTCCAGATAGAACCCCACCCTCCCTCCCACGCGAAACGGAGCCAACGGTACTCCACCCTCACCCCCCGCCGTCACCGCTCCTTGTCAACACCCGCCTTCCTCTCTTCCATCTCGCGCCGTAGCCGCGGCAGAACGATTCCGATTCCGATTCCGATTCCGCTTCAACAACCTCATTGTACTCAACCACACACAATACACAATGGGTCGCGTTCCCTCAGCGTCACCCTCGATCGTGCCAGACCAGTTGGTGTTTTCACCCAATCCCACAACCGACCCGAAAATTCGCATTTGTCGTCACCTCCTGTGCATCGCAATGTTTGCCACACAAACCAAAAAGAACAATGGTCTCGTCTCTCCAACCCGTCTGTCTGTCTGTGTGTCGGTCTCACATGGTCGTGCCCGTGATGACTCGAGACATGTCTGACGAGAGGAACAGCGCCGCGTTTCCGACATCGTCGTTGTACAGGTCCTGCATGTGATGACATCGTGCGCATGTAAGCATTGGATGGAGGTGTAAGGACCAAGCGGGTTGGTTGCGCGCGGTGATTTAGGGTTGTAGGGCCGGAGAGCAGAGCGAGGTTCGGAGTCGTTGTCAACGCCTGGCGTGCACCAGACATTTTACGACGGATACAAGCTGCTGAAAAGGGCTAACAAAAGGCGAAGAAGAGAGAAAATAAGCCTTGTTTTGGAGAAGAAGGAGAGCTCAAGGACACGCTGTCGCACACGGGTGCACACCTGTCGCGGTACCTGGCCGTACTTAAGACACGGAGGTTGCTTTCTGACGTATAACAATATACGCTTTCCTTGCCCGATGCATGTCAAGGTGACGAAGACGAAACCAACTCACATGAGCAAAACGACAGCAATAAGCGGCATGATCAAATTATGGCCACATGAAGAATGCGCGAAGCGCACACGAGCACATCGAGCAACACAACAAACCAAAGACAATTCGCACCAAACGTTGTGAACGACCAAAGAAAAATCAATAGCAACGCCTGGGCAAAGCGCAAAGAGCGGAATCTTCCTCCCCCCAGCAAAAAGCGAAGGGAAACAAAGGTGCCCCAAGTGAAGCTCACCAATCCCCCAATGCACCAATGCACCAATATGACAAAACAATACAGGGCGGGAGGCCGCAAGGTGCAAAAGCGGATCAACGTAGATCCTCCCTAGAACAACAAGCAGCAGCACAGCAGTATGTCCTGTTCCTACATTCACTGCTGTGGTAGTTCACCTGTCCCAGGGGAGAGTTAGCCTTGCTGTAGTCGATGGCGTACTCGATGAACGTCTTCTTGCCCTTCTCCTTGCCGATGGCGGACGCCGCCCGGGACTTGAGGGGCCCCGCGGAGATGGTGTTCACCCGCACGCCGTACTCCCGCCCCGCCTCCCACGCCAACACGCGCGTGTCCGACTCCAGCTGCGCCTTCGCCGAGGACATGCCTCCACCGTACCCGGGGATAACCTGAGGTATACAAGGTCCACAACGCATGGACGCCCGCGTTTGTGAAAGTTGTGGTGGTCGTTGTTGTTAGAGTGTGCTAAGTGATGGGGAGGGAAGGAAGGGTAACTGTGGTCAACAGAAAGTCGCCAAATTTATACTGAGGTGAGCGGAGCGGGCGATTTCTGCACACTCAAACAAGAGAAGAACCAAGTAGCCGCAAAACCTGTACATGTAAACACCACACGATAAAAAAAACTTAAGAAAAAACTTCCAACAGTCGTCAGCAACTAGTTCACCTTCTCGCCACCAAAACCACGGCCACTATCGCCTGCACCAGAACCGCCAGCAGCAGCAGTTACCACAACCGCGAGCACTCCGCACACCCAAACAACGCCCAAAGACCGCTCCACCACCGCCACAAACAAACAACACGCACCTTCTCGCTGGCGATGTACGTGAGCGAGACCACGCTGCCGCCCTTGGGCATGATCGGGGCGAACTTCTGCACGAGGGACACCATGGAGAACGCCGAGGCGGACGACGCGGCGAGGTACCCTCTCCTCGACGTCTCCAGGAGGGGCTTCGTCACCTCCGGTCCGTTGGCGAGCGAGTGGACCACGATGTCCACCTGCAAGCAAGAGTGCGTGCGCGTGCGTGCTCCCGTGCGTTACTCGATGATGCCCGATCGCACACAGGTGCTGCTGGTGGTCAGGTGTATTTTCGGCCCCTATGCTCTATTTCTATTTCCCTACATGATGTCGTGTGCGTTGGGTGATACAACCACAGCACTGCTGCTGGCACGCGCGTGGTGGTGTGATTCTACACGTTGTTTAAAAATAAGCACACGAGGAATGAAGCAAATCACACATCGCATCGATCCAACCACCCCCAAGGCATTCGGAGGAACAACATTTGGACGTGCTTGCCACCTAAACGACCGCGTGTGACATGCACTGCTATTTGGGTCTCTGCAAGGCATCGAGCACTAAACTGCTGAGATGCATCCCTGCCGAGGAATTATCCAGCCGAGCTGCTGAAACAGCATTATATGTTTGCTATCGAACAGAACGGCGCAAAAAGGAGAGAAGGAAGGTATTTGCGGTACCCCACTTTATTGCCCAACGAGTTTCAATACCAATACTGCTACATTGCAGCACCAATCTCGGAATAATACAACACAATGAACAAAATACACACCACTAAACAGATAACCACAACACAATGAACAACATACACATCACTAAACAAATGAACCCTTGCTGTTTTCCTTACCGTGCCGTAGTCTGCCTTGATCTGTTCGGCCACCTCCTGGATGGTGAAGCCCGACAGCCCGGCGTACCTCTTGTTGGTCTTGACGTCCTCCGGCACGTCCTCGGGAACGTCGTACACGGCGTCTAGGGGGTACACCTTGACAAGACCGAAGATTTGAAGGTGTGTTGAGCATCGAACAATCTCCAAATCAAACCAAACTGGGCATGCGAACGTCGAACAGACTCGGGGTGGGAGGTGGTGCTTGTCACGCGGTCGACAAAGGAAGACAGCCAAACCCACAACAGAGAAAACAAAAAGTAAATGGTAGCTGCGCACCTTGATCGCCAAGCCGCCTCACAACTCAAGCAAAAAGAAAAGACACACGCCGTGACACACGAACAGAATAGGCAAGGCACCTTCGCAATCTCGAACTTGGAGCCGTCCTCGAGCTTCATGTCCTCGTCGAAGGTCCCCTTCTTGAGCGACTTCTCGAAGATGCCCAGCACCGGGGGCCACGTGCCCACCGTCACGGTTGCGCCCGCCTCCGCCAGCGCCTTGCAGATGGCCCACCCGTACCCGGACGAGTCCGCCACTCCAGCCACAAACGCTACCTGGAGGGGGGGGAGGGTGAGGGGGCAACGGTGAAGGAGGCTGTGGCGGAAAAACAAATCGCTTGGCGCGGATGTAGGACGAATGCGTGGCCCAGTGCTGGAACCATTGTCTACCGTTTCACGGGGGAAGCGAGTGTGGAGCGTGCAACCGGCGCGAGGGGGTTACGCCCTGTTGTGAACGAGGCGGGTATGCACAAAACGTGCGGACACGAGTAGAAAGGCGTTTGCCAACAAAGCTGTGAGCCCACAGGGTTTATGTATCAGACAGGTGCGGTCAAGTTATGCACACACCAGAGAGCAGTCCATGCAGCCCGCCGATAAGAAACGGCACATTCGGGTCGAACCTCAATTTTGTTGCAACATTGAGCATATTGGGGATCCACAGCTGAGCCTTTTTTTTCTTACATAGAGTGAAGTCATCTCTTTCCACGGGGAAGAATTTCGGACAATTGATGCCCTTGAAGCAATGAAAATGTCATCGCGTTACCGTGGCGGACACGCTGCATTTCTACCGTCCCCCCAGCAGCGGCATACAGCTCTGTTTCCTTGACAGTAGTCAGATCCATAATTGTGGTTACTACGAAGTATTGCGCTTCGTGTTCTAAGAATTGTCTTCGATGGAAGACACATGTCCAACTGCAACTTGCCCTTGGGGTGGAAAACATGCGCTGTTCGGTGGCACGGAGATCTGCTGCTGCTCGATTTCTGCGGTGCTGCTGCCAGATGTGCTTGAAGAGGTTTGATCACCACGCGTGGTATAAAGCAAAAAGCAGTCGTGAAGCCTAGAAAGAGAAGGGGAAAAATGCATCTGTCGTGTGTGTGAACGCTATCCACTTCTGTTCAGCGGCCTAGATTTACGCATGTACCAGTGCTCAGCAAAGGTGTTTTGACTTTGAAGATTGGGAGCCTGTGTTGTACACATGCATAACAAGCAAGCTCTGAGGAAAGATCCAACCTACGGGGGACGTACCACACGTTGCAGCAGGTAAACACCGAGCCCGTGCGCAAATGCAGTAACGACGAGCTCAAGCGTAGGCGGTCAGTGATAAAAAACCGTTAGCTCACCTTGCCTGTCAGGTCAATGCTCTTGCTCATCATGCTCACGGGCGTTCGGGTAGGAGCTGCAGGCGAGCCAGCAGCAGCTTCCGAGACTGCCGTCGGCACCCTGTTGTGATATGTACACAACATTCAGAACAGCAGTCAACCAGGTCCGTCATGATATTCGATGTGCATCCATGCATTCAGTTGTTGGGGCAATCCCGCGATATAGTTGGCCCGCTGCGACTTCGCGATACCACAAGGTAATGCACCAGCGCTTTTAGTATCTCTCGTGGTGTCGGCCTTCATGAAACAACGCTTGTTGCGTGAGCATCCAAGGGACGGGCCAACCGCAGAGACTGGCAAAAATGCAAAAAATGAGCCCACGATCATGCATATACCTGCTCACGAACGATGAGCCCCGAAGAGCGGCCTGTGGGGCCAGGAAGCAGTCAGACGGGGCGATTACCGCCACAAGGGCAATCATTGAAGCTACCTTCATGGCTGTGGCTGGTTGGTTCGAAGAAGTACAGAGCCAGAGCGACAAGAGAGATGGCGCGCGCACACGCGTAAACAGCTCGGGAGGGTCCACGCAAAATCATACTAGAAAACCTTTGGGTACCATGCCTTTGGCTAATTGCACCGCATTCTGCCCATGCTGACTGTACTACGTGGACGTTCTTCTGCCACGGCCGTCTATGCAGCCGCCAGCACAGCATCTGATACGTTAACAGCATCCACGCCGGTGGTTCGGGATAGAATCAGGACTGCGTGCCTTTCTTCCTGGCTCATATTTTTACAGTGAGCTGGTACAGATGAGCCGGGCATTGTTGTTGACGGCAACAGCAGTGGCCGGGCGGAGTACGTTGCTGCGTACGCTGAGGAGAGCCCGGTCGACACAGGCTTGGTTGAGTCAGCGCGGGAGCGGCAGGGTCGGCGATGCCAAGGTATGCATGGCGAGGGCGCGTTGTGCTGAACAGTCGCAGCAGCCCAACACGCTGCAGCGGTTGCGACTAGTACTGAAAGGCTTGAAACGTGTTCCACGTCATTGCAGTTGCAGGAACAAACGTTGGCGAACGCTAAATTATCCGCGAATGGTGCTCGGACACCTTCGGTGGTGAAGTACAGAATTCGCACGAGCACATTTGCTGTGGCTTGCCCACACTTGTTGTTCCCTTGGGGCCTCTCCTTTCGAACCCTCGGCTGCGTACGCAACGAAGCACACAGGCAGCTACTATTGCTGCTGTAGCTGGCAGCGTTTCACGAATGATACGATTTACTGCTGAAAGGCTAGTTCTGAGCAGCTTCACGCGAAATTCTCTGCTGCCTCGACGCGCTCACCGTGTGCATAGGTGCACAGCGGTGGGACGATACCTCATCTAAAGAGGCCGTCTTCGCTTTTGGACGGGTTGTGTCTTCTTGTGTCCAATCAACGATTGATTAAAGTTCCTAAATGCTTTCTCTATTGTTCCAGCCAACCTTAACCTTCATGTGTCTTGCGCGGTCGTCAACAATATCCTCCAACAAGCAGATCGAAGGCTCCTCCAGGCGGGACCCTTTCCTGCTACTGACTGGGCCGGTCGCAGGTCTGCTTGCCTCTTGCACCTGGAACAACAATAACAACGATAACAACCACAACAGCTGGGACTGCAACAAACGCGTAGGGTATCGCCATCTCTTTTCAGTGGGCGCGCCGGTTCTTGCCGAAGGCTCAGCTGCAGCCGCCGCGGCGGTCGAGCCGCCAGCAACAGACCTAACGGCTCAGATCAAACACAACGTCGAGGACGGCGGTGCGACGGTGGTGATGGCGAAGGCCAGGGCGAGGGCTGAAGCTGCGGTCAGGGCGGCTCGGTTGGTCTGGACTGCCATAGTTATCTCCGCCGACTACAAGGCTTTCGATGTTTCCAGGGTCGGTTTCGTGCTGTTTGAAGGGAATGTTGGCGTTGGGGCAGGGTGCGAGGTAGCAGAGTCTTGCACGCAGGCGAAGGAAAGGCAACGACCACCAAAGAGAGAGGGGCAAGGAGAACAGCACCTTTGTGTTGCAGAGTCTACTCTCCATTCAACAACAATTACCATGCGCGTTCACGCGGGGTTTAGTTGCGGACGGCGTGTACGGCATCTCGCCAAAGGTTGCGCACTCGCCCACTCCTGTTTTCTCTCGTTTGTCTCGCTTGGGGGCGGTGGCCGGTAGCAGGCGTTCCAGAGAGCTACTAGCTTCGGCGAGGAGAACACGGCCATGGGAGAGTACGAGGTATTGGCGGACGAAATGTGGCACGCTCAGGTGGGAGGAAATTCCGCGATCGCTCATCGGATATATGGGATTCGGCCCTTGCTCTGCCAATATTGGCGGTGGGAATATAGGCCCGCTTGTCGACTGCTTGATCTTTATGGGGCCGTGTTGACTTTATTGTCATGATTACATGTGCTGTTTGTTTTCCTCGCTTCTTTCGGTGGTTCTGCAGCGGTTGTTATTTCTACTTTCCTGTGAGTTGCATGCGACAACGCTTTCCTTTGTTTCTTGACCTCGTAGGAGCAGCAGAGGAGGTGCGGCATCGAAGCGGAGACGCTGCCGGACCCGCAGGTACGACTGCAAGAGAAGCGGAAGGGCGAGAGGTCGAGTGTTCAGGGGGGGCTTAGTTTTGTTACGTTTTGTTACGTGTATGCGGAAGAAGTAAAAGTCGCCACCGCTGCTGTTTAGCCGATGGAAAAGACAGAGAAATAGTATTGCCTTGCTCGGTATATATTTTTTCGAGTGTGGCCGGTGTGTACATGCCAGGACGTGAGTTCGAGTTGGTGTAGATCACCTTGCTTGTCAGATCGCCCGTTCGTGTGTTCCTCCTGCCACTCAGAAGGGTGGAAGGGGGCAAGAAAAGGGCCTTGGCACTCTGCGCCCGCAGCTCACGTCACGAACAATTCTCTCCCTCTCGAGCGGGATGGTCTGTCCATGATCAGCGCACGCCCCTCACCCCAATGCCTCGCCAGCAATACCAACAGCACCATCGCCACCCAACGATGACAATCAGGGCCGACGACCGCATCCACAACAACCAAAAAAAGCAACGACGGCGATAAGTACGCACCCACAATGAAAACAAGCACATGAGGACTACAACAACGACGACATAGACATACCAACAGTGAGACAAACAACGACACCAATCATCGATCAACGGCCACGGCGACGATGTGCACCACCCGACGAGCAACAAACAACTACTGCAACCGAACAAACGAAAACGGCAACAGGAGCGAGCGTTGGCCCGCGCGCGCAGCAAGGAGTGGCACGCCAAGGTGGCCGTGGCGGCGAAGAAGATCGCCGATGCCGAGGCGGCGGGGCTCCGCGCCCCCATGTCGGACCTGCACCGGCGGTCGGCGGAGCGCCTCCGCGACCTGTGCAGCGTCAACGGAGGCGTGTACGTGAAGCTGGGGCAGCACCTGAGCCAGCTCGACTTCGTCCTGCCGCCGGAGTTCATAGATGTTTTGAGGTGTATGTTGGACCAGGTGAGCTCCGGGGGGTGGGGAGGGGGCTCCGTGGGTGCTTGCCTTCATCGTTCGACCACTAACCTCGTACAGTCACTGCGGGAGAGGTTACCGTTCCTACACACCACCTGCCAGAGACACACCTAGCATTCCGATGCTCTTGTCCGGGGAAGGGATGAGGTAGCATTCGTCTTTCGCCAGGGAAAGGTAGATGTTGGGGGCGCCGGGGCGGGAGCAGTTGGCCATGGACTTTGTGCGTTTTGGTACTGTGGTCATTCGGAAAGCGAATCAGCGGTGGTGGCGGCGGTGCTGCTTCGCCCTCGTTTTCCCGGTGCGTTGGGTAGACGGTTCGATATCACGCGCTTTTTTGTTTCTCGTACTGGACTCCGCCGACATACGTTTGGGCATCAAATTACTGCGCACACACACGTTATTTCGATGATCATGGTTGATCCACACCATCAGCACCATCATCATGATCTTGCTAGTTGCTTTCACTTTTCGTTGGCCTTTGTCGTGGCGCCCTGAACCGTCCCCTACTTCCTGTTCCTTCCCGCCCCCCTCTCTCGCGGAGGCAGGCGCCTCAAACCCCCATAGAAGACGTGCGAGAGGTTATCCGAGAGGAGCTGGGCGAGTACCCCGAGACTCTCTGGCGGACCTTCGACCCGAAGGCGATAGCGTCGGCATCGCTGGCGCAGGTCCACCGCGCGGAGGGCTGGAACGGAGAGCAGTTGGCTGTGAAGGTGCGCGGTNGGGGGGGGGGGGGGGGGGGGGGGGGGGGGGGGGGGGGGGGGGGGGGGGGGGGGGGGGGGGGGGGGGGGGGGGGTGCTGACGCCTTCGCGGTTATACCGTTCATCACGCATCTCATACGAGACGGACAACCGTTCTCACACGTAGTAGAGACACCTACCTCCACGTGCCTGGTTCTGTGTAACGGTGCGCTGCGCGGGAGGGTGAAAAATTCCCCTTTTGAGGCGCGAGAAAGGAGGGGTGAGAGGTTGGGGGTACCGCTTCGCGTGCTTAGTTTGGCCAAATCGGGGGAGAGAGAGCGGGGCAGAGGGGATGGGACCGGGGGGCGGGGAGGAGGGTCGGGGGTCGATTTTCCCAAAGAGGCTGAAGATGTAGTGGTCTCCAAGACTTATGCTTGTGTTGACAAGCGTTTTCTTAGTAGACACGATGCCGCCTTTTGTCGTCTATACCGATGGCACTATGAAGCAAAGACTTGAAAAATTATCGGCCGCATACACCAGGGCTAGACCCGATGTAGTACCTGCATGTGCCCAAAGGTATGACCGGCACTCTACCGGACACCGATATTGTTCAAACCAGGATTTGATAGGGTTTAGTATGTTAGATAAAATACTCGCCAACTATGCAACTCAGTCAGCGCTGAATGAGAAGCATAGTGGATAAGTCTTTATCTAACATAGTATATGAGTGGGTACTCGTGCCCCAGAACTACTCGACGGGCACTATACCGTGCACCGGCACTATTGAACTGGCGCCATATCGGGCCCATCATTGTACAGTAGTACACCCGGGAGACCCCGCCGCCGCCCCCGCGCGCGCGCTGTACGCTTGGGGGGGGGGGGG